GCTTACGGACATTGGTACTTGCTTATCGTGAACTTGATGAGGAGGAATACAAGGAATTTGATAGGAAATTCTATGAAGCAAAGAATTCAGTTAGTGCAGAGAGGGAGTCATTGATTGATAAAGTAACTGATCGCATTGAAAGGGATTTAATTCTTCTTGGTTCCACAGCAGTTGAGGACAAGCTTCAAAATGGGGTGAGTGGAATGCTTAGGTTTATTCAAGAGGGTCAGAATATGTGCCCCTCTTCTATAAGCCTCCTACTTTCTTCATTGTTGATAACATTGGACTTGAAGTTGAACTTTTCTGCATTTCCTCTGCTTACTAGGTCCCTGAATGCATAGACAAACTTGCTCAAGCTGGGATTAAGATCTGGGTTTTGACTGGCGACAAGATGGAGACTGCGATCAATATTGGGTATGGCTGTTTAGATAATGAAGTTTCCTTCTTTATGTTCGTGACCAATTATTTTACTCACCCAAGATTGGGAATTTGCAGTTTTGCATGTAGTTTGCTTCGTCAAGGGATGAAACAGATTATTATAACTCTGGAGACACCAGAAATTCAAGCCTTAGAAAGGACGGGAGAGAAGGATATGATCACTAAGGTAAATCTATATACAGCCCATGGCCTTTTATTACATGCAGGATGAATATTTAGTTATTATTTTATTATCCTGGTTGAAGAGTCTAATGGCAGCCATTGAACTGGTGGACTGGTGGCTTCTGAATCACATTTTAAGATTTTGACAATACCATTTGCAGTTTTTGTTAAAAAGGAAAAATCCCAAAAATATAGGAAACAGTAGCGTTGGTACTGAGAGGAAGTTTCAAAATGTGGTTCTACGTAGTTTAATTTGTTAAATTGCCAGCATGTTCATAGGACTTTTCTGATTATCTTTTAGGCATCAAAAGAAAGCATCGTGCACAAGATCACTCGGGCAAGGTCTCAGCTCACTGCCTCAAGTGGAAGTTCTGAGGCTTATGCATTGATAATTGATGGGAAATCACTTACTTATGCTCTAGAGGATGATGTGAAAAATGCATTCCTTGAGCTTGCCATTGGATGTGCGTCTGTTATTTGCTGTCGCTCATCTCCAAAACAAAAGGCAATGGTAATTATTTAGATCCCTATCTCGATGTTTGAAAGCGTCCTTTCAAGTTTTATCATCTCAACAATGTGGAGAAAATAATTCAGGTCACCAAGTTGGTTAAACTTACAACGGGAAAAACAACATTAGCAATTGGTGATGGTGCAAATGATGTTGGAATGCTTCAAGAAGCAGATATTGGTATTGGAATCAGTGGTGCCGAAGGAATGCAGGCATGGAAACCACTTTTATGCTATATATATATCCTAGCTATTTAACTTAGCCTTTTGTTTTGTTTTGTTTCTAACATTTTCTGTTGCTTTTTGTCACATTCAATCACTTCAGGCAGTCATGTCGAGTGATATAGCAATCGCTCAGTTCAGATATTTGGAGCGTCTACTCCTCGTTCATGGACATTGGTGTTACAGGAGATTATCGTCAATGGTAATTCCATTCACCAAGATGGATACTCCAAATTTCATATTTAAAAATACTTGGTCAATTTTATCTTCTGAAAGTATTTTATCTCTCTTCTAACGTTTCTCTTATTTGCTGGCTCTTCTTTTTGGCAGATATGCTACTTTTTTTACAAGAATTTCACATTTGGTTTTACGATTTTCTTATACGAGGCATACACTTCGTTCTCTGCACAACCTGCATATAACGACTGGTTTATGTCTCTCTACAATGTCGTGTTCTCCGCTCTGCCCGTTGTGGCTCTCGGGGTGTTTGACCAAGATGTATCTGCAAGATACTGCCTTAAGGTAATAATGTGGCAATATGGCATTTTTTTTCTTGGTTTTGTGGGGAGACGTTAAGTCCTAGGTATATTGTATGCATGTACTTATTATATACCAAACTAGATGACCATTGCAAAACAATTAAAAATTAAAAACTTATGAATCCTCAGCACCATTTGATAAAATAAATCTGAAATAAACTACAACTGAGCTTACATCTCACCTTATCTTCTAAAAGATGGTTTTGATGCGATCAATGTATCCTAAACCCTTACATTTGATGTGGCAGTTTCCTATGTTGTACCAACAAGGTGTGCAGAATGTTCTCTTCAGCTGGCTTCGGATAATCGGCTGGATGTTTAACGGTCTGTGCAGTGCGTTGATCATTTTCTTTTTCTGCACAAGTGGAATGCAGCATCAAGCATTTAACCCCGAGGGTAAGACCGTAGGGAGGGATATTCTCGGGGCGACGATGCTGTCGTGTGTTGTTTGGGTTGTCAACTTGCAGATGGCACTCTCTGTTAGCTACTTCACAATGTTACAAGTTATTTTCATCTGGGCTTCAATCTTTATCTGGTACCTTTTTCTGATGATATATGGAGCCTTCCCTGCCAGCATTTCGACAAATGCATATCGCGTGTTCCTCGAAGCCCTTGCTCCTGCAGGGTCTTATTGGGTTCTGCTGATATTTGTGGTGATCTCTACTCTCATTCCATTCTTTGTATACTCAGCATTGCAGATGAATTTCTTCCCCATGTACCATGAAAAAATACAGTGGATAAGGCACGATGGTCAGGGTCAGATAGATGATCCCGAGTTTGTCAATATGGTCAGGCAAAGCTCGATAAGACCGAGTACTGTCGGCTTCACTGCTCGTTTGGCAGCCAAAATAAGAAGAGAAAAACCATAGTACGCTGATTCCCAGAGACGGTGATTGATCGCTGTATGTTTAAATTTGGAAGTTTGCTACATTAACTGATTGTACAGATGCATCAGCCTGCCTTATGATACGATGATAGAAAACGCCTCTTGTATTATTATTATTCTTGGCTTCCTCTTTTAGGAAGGAGTTTTTTTTTTTTTTTTTTTTTTTTTTTTTTTTTTTTTTTTTTTTTTTTTTTTTTTTTTTTTTTTTT